CACAGATAGAACGAGCAATTCACGAGTTCTTGGCAGCCCAGAAAAAAGAAACTCTGCCAGCCCCACCTCCAGAACCTGAAAGCCAGGATCCTCCAGCGCCATCCCAAGACGCTTCCTAAGGTTTGGTACCCACGCCATCTTTCCTCTCTGGCTAGTCATTGTGTGAGATGGTCAGAAACAGGGTCAGCTGTAATTGGACATGTTTCACACAGGTCAGAAAAGAGCACTGAGGGGATTTCCCCCCAGTGAGCCATCTCAGGGAACTCAGCGCTAACACACCCCATATTGGCAAGTGTGCTCTGTGCCAGCAGGGCTTAGCATCCCAGTCACCACAGGAAACCATCAGGAACCATGGTGGCAGCTGGTTTACCCAGGGCACTCGTGTGGAGGTCTTCTCTGAAATGCTTACACCAGACTCTCCACCACCAGTTAACATTTGTGATTTGCATATGAAATCCAGCAGCATTCCTAAGTGAGACATTCACCATGAGCTCTGAGTTTCCATGTTGCACGGGATTACCGTGCAGTTCTGTTCTCATTGTCTCAGGTTTAGGATTTAATCTCCACTTTGAAAATTAGCTGGAGATACAGAGGTGAATGCTAGACTGGGTTTGGGGAGCCACTGTATGAGCAGTAGACCTCTCACCTGCCATCATCACACCCCTGGGGTCGTGTTCTGGCCCCTTGTTCTGCTGTTAGTGAGCCATGAAGGTAAAATTGGGTAAGGAGGCAGTTGACCTAGGTTTTTGAACGTGGGCAATTGAAAGGCTGTCTTGTGCCTCTTGGGAGAGATCCTTGATCCATCATGAAGTAAATGAAAACATTTATTTTAAGTCTTTTCCATTTCATTGTAAATTCTTTTAGGAATATAATTAATGAATATAGGCTCTTACCAAAAGTACCATTTTGACATGATTATCTTTATTCTTTTTTTTTTTTCTTTTTTTTTTTTAGGATATGTCTGATACCGTTGGAAAACTCCATTTAATGAAGAAATGAAATGGATTCCTGTTTCATACGAATATAACTTTATTCAACTACGTCACTACTGATGTCAGGATTTTGGCCTTGACTAGGGTGGTGTCCATATTGGATGGAGAGCAGGTTTGGTGGTGGGACAGTCGTCCATACTTGCTCGTGCATCGTGCCATCTCTGACCAGCTTGTCCAAGGGTCTGACCATAGTAGACACTACAGAGGGTGAAGCACTACATGACTTGGG